CCATTGCTTTCATTCTCCATTGTTGCAGACTATTTTCTATTTGGTTGATCCATAATCATTTTGATTATTGTACTTTTGTTGCATTCATCTTTTTAATTGGCTTCTTATTCTTCACCATTGTAGTTGCTGTTTGCTACCATTATTTTTATTCTAGTTTTATTATTATTATTATTTTAAATTGGCTTGTTGCATAAACATCAGTTCATGAATGACGTTCAATTTTTTTCTTTGAAAACCAAATTATTCTCACCTCCAATTTGCCTCCACTTACAGACAAACGACAATGGAGAATGAATAAAATAACATAAACTCACAAAAAAAAAAAAAAAAAAAAAAAAAAAAAACGAAAGGTAATTCACTAAAAAAACAACAAAAAACGCTTAGCAATCGTAGGGCACAAGAAAGATGGTGACTGAGAAAGGGTAGGTGAAAGGGGGAGAAGAGGACGACAGAAGAAACAGTTTCACGTTTGCTAGGTTTCAGGGTTTTTTCGATTTTGTTCTTTCTTCTCTTTTTTTTTTATATTTTTCTTATGGTTTTGTAATTATTTTTAGTTGAATAAAAATTCATATCATTTTAAGTGATGTGGTTGTTCACATAAGATGGAATAACATTATGTTACGATTAGATAGTAAGATTATTTAATCTACATGACAATATTTAATTAGGCTAGTGATGAAGGAAAAATTTGTCCTAATTGAGAACATGTAAGAATATTTGAACACATAACCAAACTAATGACATTTTAAAGTATGCATGCATTCAAAACAATCTAAAACTCATGATTTTCAAAGTCTAGCGAATGGTGAACCAAAAGACTCTTTAACAAATTAAAGAGAAGAAAGAGTTGAGTTTCATTACCTTTGAAGCTCATCCTTGTTTACACAAGGGATTCACCCAAGTGGAGGGCCTTCAGGTCACCTCCTTTGCTTATTTGGATGGTTGCTTCTTTGCTTCTCCTTTGCTCCTTGAGGATTTGAGGAGAGGAACTCCAAGAACGCCAAAAGTTTGGTGTCTCTAAGTCTCCACACCAAGGATGAGGTGTGAAGATGAAATGGATGACTTAGAGAAATGAAGATTGCTAGCTATTTTTATCTAAGTGTGGCCGGCCTCTTTGGAAGACAAAGAGAAAGAGTTTTGCTCTTTTGCCTCAAAGAAAAAACTTGATGTGATAAAGCTATAAAGTTCCTTTAATAGCACCTCACATTTGAGTGGCAAACTTGCAATTATGCCAAGTTCACTACCACTCACCCTATGGCCGGCCATCCTTTAGTTATTGGGCTATTTGCCCATTTTGTTTTAATTGTAATACAACTTAAACATAATGGGCCTTGTGGACCAAAACCCTTTTGGGCCCCGAGACCGGATCCCAATCGAACCTTTTGTATAATTAATTAACTAATTAATTAATCTTGACCATTCTTAATTAAACCATTTAATTGCAAGTTAATTAATTAATCTTGACCATTCTCAATTAAACCATTTAATTGCTCATCCATCTCATTTATATTTCTTCACTTTCATCCTTACTCGGTGTACGATCTATTAGGTTCCAATTAGCGAGGTAGTGGGCGATTGTTACTCTTAATGATCAATTGTGAATTGAAACTACATTTCAATTCTCCCTTTGATGAAGATTAGTGTTTGCTAATCTTTAGTCATGAGTGATACCTAGTAGTATGTCATGGCTACCCAAGCGAAGTAGAAGTGGTTGGAGAACCTATCTAGTTACAATTACAATGCAATACGGTCATTCTTTAATACAATACTCTTAATCACATTGTTAGAGTAATAGTTTGTTTCATGTCTACTATCCAATGTGATATTTCTCTATATGATTCAATTGAGTATGATTTGGAACAAACTTCCTAAGTCATATTTGTATGCTTTGGCCAAAGACTCCCAAATCATATCTCAGAATATTCTCCCTCCACCATGGAAGGTTAGAGATCCCTTGTTGTGCATTCATATGCCTACATGACTAGATAGCTTGACCCCAACAATGTCGTGGACACTCTTGATGGAATGCCTTTGACATGATCAAAGATCAAGGACCTAACCATTAGACATCTATGATGCCTCAGGTCAAAGGACTACTTTGCATATTGCAACTTACGAGTTCTTACATGACTTGCATGTTCGAACTCTCTTTTTATCGTAGTTCAGTGTACTCGATTAGTATTTTGAGCACTTACGTGTTTGTTTCAGTGCCCAACACTAAATGACTTGAGACTAGTCATACGCACATTTGAGTTAACATAACACATATTAACCTTAGCAGATTATCAATGCCCAATTGGTAATCCTATGGCTAGGAACGTTTTAGGAATGAACATAAGAGAAAGGTCTCGTTAATCTAACTTACTTAGATCACTTCTCTCTTAGATTAAATACATTTCTTTGATTCCCTTATTGCTTAAACACATAATACAATAAATAGTGATTAACAATAAGCTTTGTCCTTCATTAAACATATAATAGTTTAACACAATAAGTATTCCAAAAGCTATTACGTCAAATGAGTGGCTTTGTGGGCATACTTCCAACAAGTGAAACCTAGTTATGTGCCCATGAGCACATAATAGAATTTTTGACAGAATTGTGAAGGAAGAAGAACATTGACTTGCGACACTCGTTTTCAGGGACAACATTGATCAATTTTCAATTTCGGGAACCATCTTGATGAGGCGAGTCAATTTTAGAGATCATTTCTGATAAAAATCCAAAATTAAATAAGATTCTAAATTCACTTTTTTTTTCTTGCTGGAGTACAATTCACGTGTCTCAAAAATGTAAAATAAGAGGTAAAGTTGACTTTTACCTTTTAAAAAAAATAAATAAATACATAACACTAAATATTAAATGGCTAAAATTAAAAATAAAAAATGTAATAGCTATAAAAATCTAATATAATTACTAAAACACTAGTAGCACTTACTAGTATTGGATCCATTTACACTTCACACCTTAAATTTGCATAAAAGAAAGGGAAATAGACATAAATATGACATTTTCTTAATCTTGAGACAGAAATAGGACAAATCGGCCATGTACAAGCCATGCACACCATGCACAAAACTAAAATTACTAAAATACACATATATAAATACTAAAAATCATTAGCCCATTGCATCACTTTTCTCATTTAGAAAAGAGAGATGTCGAGAGAGCTCTGTGAGCTCTGGGTTTTTGGGTTGAGCTTAGATCTCTGAACTCCGATTCGAAAAGAAGGAAGTCCAAAGAGAGGTGAGAATAGTGAGCTGGACTTTGGGTTTACCTCATACCTCTAATTTCGAATAAAGGGATGCGAAGAGGTGAGAAGAGTGAGCTAGATTTTGTACAATATTTTTTGTTTTCACCGGAAAGTTCCATTTTTTCCGAAGACTAAAGCTTTGGCAGACATAATAAGGTAGGGTTTTTAGTTCCAAGTTCCTTCATCAATGATTTATGGAATACATAGGTTGTTTGTAAGATGAATTAATACTTAGAAGTTAAATTAGGGTTTCTGTTTCATGTTGCCAATGGGTTGTGGAATAAATTTCAAGTTTTGACGTGCTATGAAACTAGGATGGAACAATTTTTGGTTCAAGTGTCCAATTGCAGAAATTTGTGAAATTTTTTCCATAATGTGCATGTGGTGTGCATATGATGTGCATGGCTACATCTTAATATGAGAAGCGGGAATGTTCACTAGTTATGATGCACGTATGTTGTGTCCCGATTAGCGAGTATGACCACAACCTAGTTGGCCTCGGCAAAAAAAAAAAAATTAAGAAAAAGCTTAGAGGACGCTAAGGGTCATGCATGTCCATGAAATAACGACAACGAGTATCATGTTTTTCACATGCACAGTTAAGTGGTGATTGGTATATGTAACAAAACTTTTCAAATTGCCACTGTATCCTTATATATGTAACAATTATGTTTTAATTGTATCCACTATTCCAATAGGTTGCCGTTAAAGTTTCTTATTAATGCGAAAAACAACTTGTTGCTCGATCTCCAATTCTGTGCATATCATGTGCATGTATTGTACATATGATGTGCAAATAGTGTATATGGTGGTGACGTCACATGTGATGACGTCATGTTTTTGATAAGATGAAATAGTTGTGAGCTCTAAGTTTTTGGGTTGGCTCAGATCTATGAGCATATCATGTGCATGTCGTGTACATACAGTGAACATATCCTGAATAATTCATCCAACAAAACACCAATTTTTGCCAATTTTTAGTAAACACCATCACAACATTCAAACAAGATAGGGATACTATGATATAGAAGAGGGAGAAATTGATTAAACTTTGTTTCACTATTACTTCATACATCTTCTGGGTTTAATCTCCCTTTCCCCAAATATGAAAAAAGTCACTTCTTTAATCCCACTAATCTGCAAATATTGGAAGGAAGAGAGCAAACAACAAATGAGATTTCTTACTTTTGGTCAATAACATATGGGATTTCTTGTTTTGATGGTGTTACCCCTTCTGTCTAGGATGTTCGTGAAGAGAGAGAGGGCTTTGTTCCCAGCAGACACTGTGTGTGCACCAGTAGTTAATGACTAAGCTTTGTTCCCACCCTTGATGCAAGTCCAATGGCGGTGGTCTCAAGCCTCGATTGTTTGTCGTGTTGCTAGAAAATAGCCGAAAAACTTGCAGTTTGCTTGAGTTTCGATCTCAACGATCGGGGATGAGATTCGTGACAGGGCTAGGTGTTTTGGATTCGTGAGGACAAGATGAAATTGGTGTTGGCTTCGTTTTAGACGGTGTTGGTTGGGCCGAGTGTTCACCGTGTGTGCACAATGAGAACATGAGAGAGAGCGTGAGGAAGAAACTGAGAGAAGAGAGAGGGAGGGAGAGAGAGTAGAGAGAAATAAAAAAATAGAAGGAAATGATCCATTTATATATAAGAGTAATTAAGTTATTTCAATGTGTACAAAAAATACTATTTTGTCCAATTATTGTGCATGTTTAAAAAATTCTATTTCTATCTTGAAATCATAAAATGTCATATTTCTGTCTATTTCCTATGAGAAATCCGCAACTCAAAGTGACATTTTTGTGGTTGGAAACTTGGACGTACGTCACCAAACCAAGAGGAAAGCAATGAATTCAGTCAGTCGTCAAAACACATAAGGCGGGCGAGCCGCGCGTGCCCAAGTGGGAGTGGAAGTGCTGAACCCAATCGGCAACCCAGATGATGAACATGAATTGTCGTCTGAATGGCCCTGCTCGTCTGATGCTAGTCTCAGATCTTGACTACACCTTGGTTGATCATGATGCGCCTGATAATCTCTCCCTTCTCAAGTTCAATGCGCTGTGGGAATCATATTACCGCCATGATTCTCTGCTGGTATTTTCCACCGGAAGATCACCCATCACGTACAAACCTCTGAGGAATCAGAAACCCTTGCTAACCCCCGACATCACCATCATGTCCGTCGGCACTGAGATTATGTATGGCGGTGGTACTGATATGATTCCTGATCTTGGTTGGCAACAGTTTCTCAGCCACAGATGGGATAGAGCCGTGGTTGTTGAAGAAACTAATCAATTTCCTCAACTTACTCCTCAGGTACCTTTCTTTTTTATTTTTCCTTCCCCTATGTTGGAATTATTTATAATTCCGAAGATATTCTAATTTAATCTAAACTACTTGGGTGTCATGAGGGAAGTGCACTTGTCTAACCAACTCGACTACGTCCATATGCTAGTGTGAGCATACACAAAAATGTACCTTAGCCCAAGAGTTTGAATTTCGCTCTTCTTCGTAAAGTAGAATAATTTAGAGGGAAAAAAAAAAAAAATCTCACATTGTAGATGGTGTGAGCTCTAGTTTAATTATTACGTTTTTACCGGTTAAGATAAACAACACTTGTGCATTTGAAAATTTGAAAATATGATATGAGATTATTTCAGGCAGAGGGAGAGCAACGACCTCACAAGGTTAGCTTTTATGTTGACAAGGTTATGGCATTCGAAATAATGAATGTTTCATCACAACGGTTGGAGAAACGCGGGGTAAGATTTCCTCGATTGTTTTCGTTCTCTAAACCTTTTTGCTACACTCCAGAGCATTCACAACTTCATTTGGAAACAAAACTGGTACCACTATATTTATGTATATATATATGTATTCTCTGAAATCATATTGCTTTAACTATTTGAATGCATCTTTCCTTAAAGCCTGTGATTTGTCTCTGATCTTTATACGCATTTGGCCAGTTAGACGTAAAGATCATTTATAGCAGTGGGATTGCTTTGGACGTTTTACCAAAAGGTGCTGGTAAAGGACAAGCTCTTGCATATCTGTTAAAGAAATTCAAGTTTGAGGAGAAACTTCCACACAACACTCTTGTTTGTGGCGACTCTGGAAACGATGCTGAACTCTTCAGTCTCCCTCAAGTGTATGGGGTGATGGTCTGTAAGTCTTAAACGTTTAGTTCATTATTTGCTTTCTTTCTTTGCATAATCATATTGTTAGGTTATTAATAAGGATAAAAATTGTTAGATTGAATATGCAGGTGAGTAATGCACAAGAAGAATTGTTGCAGTGGTATGCAGAAAATGTGAGCGACAATCCTAATATGCTTCATGCAACTGAGAGATGTGCAGCTGGTATAATACAAGCACTTGGACATTTTCATCTAGGTCCAAATGTATCGCCAAGAGATTTCAAAGACTTCCGAAAGTGCAAAGTGGAAATGTCCAGTCCTGCTCATGAGGTAGTCAAATTCTTTTTGTTCTATGAGAGATGGCGCCGTGCTGAAGTAGAGAAATCTGAGGAGTATATCCAAAACTTAAAACCAGTCTTTGTAAGTATGACTTGTCTGTTTTTTCCTTTCTTTCTTTCCCCGACGCCATTTTTTATTTTGCAACACCATGCTTCAAGTTAAATTTATAGTCTTGTAAATTAAGTATGTCTTGGTTATGTGCATTGAAGGTTGGACTAACTGATGCGGCTTTAATTCTGGTTTTTTTCTATTTTTTTGTTTTCTTTCCGTTTCTTTAGCATTCATTGGGTATCTTTGTCCATCCCTCCGGAGTTGAGCTACCTATCCACCAGTGCATAGATTCGTTGGCAGGGTTGCATGGAGATAAGCAGGGAAAACAATTTTGGACATGGGTGGATCGATTATTGTTGGTTCAAATTGGCTCAAATGCATGGCTCGTGAAGTTTAATAAGTGGGAATTGTGTGGTGTGATAGGAGCATATTCATGCGACTTAAATGGCTTGTTCTCGTGCATTTACGTTATGTTTCTTTAGTTATTTTAGTACTTTAAGCTATTTTCGTGTGTTTATAGGTCCAAAGGGCTAAAGGAGCAAAAAGATGCATTTTGGAGACTTTTGGAGCACTTTTGGGCTAAGGATGGATAGCTTATGCTTGGAGCCAAAGTGTTGGACGAAATTGAAGACCTAATTGAAGACCAAAGTGTTGGAACCTTGTTCCCTTTAGTTTTAGGACATCTAAACCTTTCCTATATCCTTAGCCGTGCATAACATTCCAACATTCCACTCATTCATTTCAGCCACACTCCCACATATCATTACTTATCATCACCACTTATCACTTATCAAACCATTCACTTATCACTTATCATCAACATTCACTTATCACTTATCATAACCATAACCATACCTTCCTCCTTGCAATTCCACATGCATTCATCACCAACACAATCATCAACAAATCCACCCATCCCATTCATCATTGCCGTGCATAACCCACCATCATTTCCAACCCATCACTCCCATTCTTTAATCCAATTCAGCCATTTAATCATTCACCTTGCATTTCCATATTATTCCTTCATCATTGCAGCCACCTACATGCATTATTTATTAAACTCTTCATCATTGCAGCCAGAAAATCATCAAAAACTTCCCAAACACATGCACACACATGCAATTCCAGCACCAACAACAAGCCATGCCGTGGGATCCTTTGTGCAATTCCAGCTTTCCACAACCAACCTAGCTGTCATTGCACATGCATTCATCATCATTCCCCCTTGCATTTCAGCCACATTCACTCCCCCTTACCTTGTGCCGTGACTTCCCTTTCTTTCCAACATAATTCACATGCATTTCAGATTGCATTCCCATTCTTTAATTCAACCAACAAAATCATTCATTCCACATGCATTTCCAACCACACACTCACCCACACAATCTGCCATCATTCACAAAAAACACCATCATTGCCGTGCATCCCATTCCATCTCCCATTTCAGATTGCATTCCATTCATTCCACCCTTTAATCACATGCATTCCCCTTTGAAATTCCAGCTTTCCACCTAGCTTTCCACCTCACAACCACCAGAAAACATCCCATGCCGTGTATTCCCTTTCATTTCTGTCAAAGCACATGCAATCCCACCCTTTAATCACATGCATAAATCAGCCACATGCATCTCCCATCACCATTCCAGATTTCCACTAAGTTCCTAGCTGTCATGTTCCCCCCATTTCGCCTATAAATAAGCATCCATTACACCTAAATTGACATTCATTCTTCCATACACATTTCAGTCACAAACACCAACCATTCCCTTGTGCCGTGGCCTCCTCCTTCCATTTTCACCACTCCCCCAAACCATTCACACCATCAAACTATCCTTAGACCTTGTGCTACAACGAAGAGGAAGATAAGAGGGCCTAAACGTTCATACAATTCAAGTTTGAGTTGTTGGAATGTTTAGGTGTTTCTTTGATTTCAATGTTTAATTTCAATACTCTTTGTTTTGTACGAATGAGGAATGGAAGAGAAGAGGACCTAAACGTTCATACAATTCAAGTTTGAGTTGTTGGAATGTTTAGGTGTTTCTTTGATTCTCTTTGTTTTGTATCATGAGGAACTAAACCCCCCTTAGCTAGGGGGGGATTCGAAATATATGTTTATGCTTGCATTTTGATTTGATTACTTCTAATTGCGTTTCATAAGTTGTGGATTCAATTTGTTTAACTATTTGATTGATAACTTATTTGTGTATGTTGATTGAGAGTGCACACTTAATTTTCATGCATGAATTTGACGCTAGAATATAAGTGAGTTTCACGTAATAGTTATGAACTTATATTCACAAGTAGTGGAGGTTGCTTATAAACAATCGCGTTAAACAAATTCTTGGCATAAGTTTCATGCAATCATAGTAACGAATGCCTCGTCAACACTTATAATTTTCATAGAGCATAATGATTCTTGCTTGTATCTCTATTATGCAATCATGTAGGGGACTTGTGGGGAATGCTTTGGGTTGTCATATGCAATCATCCAATTCATTAACTTAAGGAAAACTTGACGGTTAATTTAAGCGGACCTAATTAACCCGGGGCGTTGAGAATTCATGGTTTATTGAAACGCAATTGGAAATCGTTTTATTATGCAAGTGTAACATGTATGGAGATGAACCCCTTTGCTAGCCATCTCATCCATTCTATTCCATCAATTTCATACTTACAATCTGTTTTAATTAGAATCTGTGCAATTAGTTTAATTTCGTCCAAAACTCAATCCCCCCTTACTTTAATGTCCAAATTAGTTAGAAAGTGTTTTGATTTGTGTTTCTAAGTATTTTGATTCAAGTTTTCATCCAATTTCGTCCAAATTAGTGTAGGTGCTCAAAACTGCCCAGAAAGTGGTTTTTAGGCAGTTTTGAGTCTTCTAGTTGCTGTTTTGGGTTTTAGGTTTGTTTAAGTGTTGTAACTTTTAGTTTTGCATTCTTTGAGTCGAGTTTAGTGTTTTAAACTTTGTTTTTGAGTTTTTAAGTCAATTTCCAAGTGTTTAGCAATCCCTCCTAATCCCCGGTCTAGAACGATCCCTACTTATATCTATACTACAATTGTCAAAAAGAGGGTTTAATTTGTGTGCGTATAATTCTCGCATCATGGTGAGATGAGTCTACCTTTCTAGCATTTATACGAGATAGAAAAAGAATTGGAAGAATACATTCGATTAGTTAATCTAGTAGAATATGTAATGAAATAGTTACATTTGTATCAAAACGGGTAGCTAGTCAGTAGTTAAATATCTGAGTAAAGGACGATTCTTGAAATAGAAACGTGAAAGTTGAGAGGGCATATAAAATGTAAGTGGACAAATTTAGGGAGCTGCTATTAGCACTCCAGAAAAGTCATCAGGCATACAATATTTTGTGAGTGCTAATTATCGTGCAGAACTTGATGATTTAGTTATCTGATAGTAACGGATTGGTATTGGTGAAAGATTGATGGATTAATTGTTGTAGACAACGAGCGGCAATGCTGTCTGACTAGTCCTGATGAGTTCGAAGGTATAACCTTTTAAGTTCATGTCCCTCGTCGGCCTAGAATGTAATAACTTGGAGAGATTTCAATCTGGTAGTTATATTACTCATGATTTGTTATGGCTTTACCAGGCTGAGGTGCCAGATGCTTTCACTTGGCTGCACATGCATCAGACATGGCTGGACGGTTTGGAAATTAAAGAACAAGAAAGATGGTTATTTTAGCTTCCTAACCAGGTCTGCATCTATTATTTTGGGTCAAGATCGCGAGACACATTTAGATACTTTCTTAGGGTCGGGATCGGGGGATCTGATTCCATATTGTTTACACATCTATCTTGAATGCTGTGTTGCGGAATCCGGTGGTTAATTCCAAGTTTGCTGGTGACGATAAGGCATCCTTGTACATATAAGTTACCAGGACCAGGGCAAGGTACATGGTGACTAAAGTTTGATTGATGTGTAGGCCAATTGCAGAATAATAATGCTACTAAGTATACAATCTGATATGCTAGTTTACACAATGTGATGCAATAAGTACTACATTCGGTTGCAGTAAATTAATTATCAAGCTATTCCATTTCGTTTTCAGTCTTCTAGGTTTTGTTTTTGCTTTTTTGAAAACTGAAAACTTGTTTAGTAACTATTTTTAGTTTTGATTTGGGGTAGATAAAGAAGCATGACTTGATTCCCTGTATTATATGTATAGTTTGCTGTGTAGCCTTCCCTGTTCTCTGTCACGTCAACACAATGAACGGCAACGGTAACTTATTTGACGGAATATTGGAAAAGGATATATTGAGAATCAGTGCAGGTGTTAAACTGGAGAAATTCTTCATTGTACCAGGAATGGATGGTACACTACGTGTCATTGTATAAGTGGAGAGACGTATTTTTTACATTGTGCATCACCTTTTTGTTATGGACATACTAAAATATCTCTTATTAAAGTGAAACAATATAGAATGTAAGGAGTAAAGTGTGGCACGGAAAAAAAGTTTAGTTAGGTAAAGTAAGATAGTATAGAGTTGGGGAAAGAGGGGGGTAAAGTGAGAATATGGAATGTGGGGAGTAAATTGCGACAATATAAAAGATAGAGAGGAAAATGAGATTTGATAAAGAGTACAAGTATCATAGTTAAAATAAGTCCCATGTAACTAACTCGAAACCAAGTTTTTATTTTTTTATTTTTTTTATTTTTATCTTTTATTTTTAAGAGGGATAATTGGTAGTAAGCCACGGTTATCCATCCGTTTCGGGGGCTGGGAAGACTCACAGAGGCATTTCAGCCTCTCCTTGGCCACAAGTCTGGCTTCCACACCAGCAATGAGTTTCGAACCCGAGACCTCTAGTTTTTAGTTTTAAGGAAGCCTCGTAATTCATTATTTATCATTGGGTTACTAGTTCGTGGTTAACTCGAAACCAAGTTGACCGTATGGGTTTGGTTGGTTCATCTGTTTTTCATCATGAAGGCCTACTCTTAGACAAAAATGGTCACATTCTAATGAAGGGCATTCTAGGACATGTGAATGTATTATAAAGAGTAGTAGTCACGAGCTATTCCATCAAAATTTGTAACAAAAGTCACATCAGCAAAAACTTTAAAAACTTTAAAGACCAACTTGGAGCGAAATAAAGTTGAAGTACTAAAGTGGAAAATACCAAGAAGTTGAGCCAAAAAATGTGAAATTAATCATAAAAATAATAGAGTGTTGTTGATACGGCCAACTACTTTTTCTCACCGACCAAACTAGTGTTAATATTCATCATGGATGCCACGCCTATGAGGCGAGGATAGAAAAGTAATTAGGGGGTCTAGAAGCGCTAAAAAAAAAAAAAAAACAATTTAAAACAAGTGATGGATTATCTTAGTAGTTAAGACTTTCATTTTTAATCAATTATTTAAATCCTTTCCTATTTAATTAGTGTAGAATATTTTTCGTAATAGAATAGCTCAAAAAAAATTAGTCTTTGAAAAATGATTAAAATTAAAAAAAAAAACGTAGTGCTAGATTACATATTCATTTTAATGCCTTAACATGTACTTTTATTAAAATTTATTTTCTATCCTTGTTATTTAATGTGTAACTTTATTTAATGTCTTCACATTAAAATGTTAATTTTTGTTTTTTGTCAAACAATAAATTTGTTAGATTAGATGTTAGATTAGGAAGTCGATAGAGTTTCAAAGTCTTGCCGTATTGCAAGGGCAACACTTTTCTCCACCACTGTGATAGAGGGTCACTTGTTTTAATTTTAATAAAAAATAATGAAAAGGGCTTGAAAACTTTGAGTTTTAACGATAAAGACAAAATAAAGGGTAAAGTGAATAGTATCAGGTTTGACTTTTTAGTGAAAAAATGTGATTTTTCATTAAAGTGAACAGTACAGTAGGTTTTTCGTTAAAACTCTCTTAATTTTATTAATATGCACATATTAGTTCTTTAATTATAAATGAACAAAATAAGAAAATTTTAAAAGAAATTAGTGACACATAAATGTGTAAATACACAAGTGTACAAAAATGACTCTACCGAAATATATAAAATTGATTTCATTGTACCGCATTTGTACCTAAATATTTGTACCGAAGTATATTATAATGAATCTAAATATATGTACCGAAATGTATTATGTTGAATTAATGTACCTAAATGTCAATTGTCATGCCCCGATCCCAACATACGTCGAGAATCGACACGTGACAAGGAAAATAACGTTCGTTGAATACGGTATAAGCGACTGAATGAAATACTTTAAATGATAAACCAAATTAATATGAAGGTGACTAAGTTATCCACTTGATATTTACAAATATGTAAATTCCAAAAAGAAGTACAACCTTCGCCAGACTAAAAACAAGTTCAAGATGCTCAAAAGAAAGTCCCAAAATAAAAAGTACAAGAGTGAATCAAGGGTAACCTAACGCTCCAAGTCTCTGATACCGCACTGCTACCCCCACCTACGAACGTCTCGAAGTCTACTCAACCTGTCACCTGTATGGTTAGTGCCTACACCATCGAAATGGTACATCGGCAACCATCAACACAATATAAGCTGCGAAGCTCGTGTGAGTGACAATAATACCAAGGATGTGAGACAAATATTAAAAACCATCCATCATACACAATTTATAAACATTGAATGTAATTCCTTGATAATAATCAATACCAAACCTTTGAAACTCCGAAGGAGTCACCCGGACATCCAAAAGTTCATTTGAAACAACTATAACATCTCACACCCATATTCACATACACACAATGAAAGTAGAATTAGGGTGACACAGTTTATCCAAAGCCTACACCTTTGTAACTATCTCAAACCAAACTCAATGAACTAAGGTGGATACAATCCCGGACCATCACTCAACGGGATTGTGGAGTAAAGGGGATTCCGGACCACCTCTCAATGGAATCCGAATGGTTATGATTTCGAACCATCACTCAACGGAATTGCGGAGTAGAAGGGATTCCGGACCATCTCTCAACGGAATCCGAATGAGTACAATTCCGGACCATCACTCAACGGGATCGTGGAAAGTCAACACCCATAAGGTACAACGGTTCAAAGAATTGAGACCAGCACAAGTTACTTCATTTACAAAAGCTCAACCAAGAGAAGTAAGGCATAAATACTAACTTTTAGAACGGATCAACGAAACGTAAATGAAACAATATCGAAGCAGCAAATCCCCAATGGGTTAACAACCCACCACTAGCCCTCACATTTCATCACATCATGCCAATCAAACAATTTACATCATATTTCAAAATGTAATAGTCAAATCTCATTTCATAAAATAGAAATATATTTATAACACTAAGTCATACCCTCACAGAGTAGTAATTACAAAAGCAAGGTAATCACTAATATCACATATATTAAATTCACTGACCTGGAGTCCACGCTAATGCACCTTAGCACGAGAGTCAAGGCATCACGTTCTATCACCTCCTGAACAAAGCACAAGTCCACATTTAGATTTCCTTCGATAATTCACATAATCAAAAACTCTCATATGTCTCCCACAACACATTTAATAAGGGATCAAACCGTTGTTCTAAGGTAGGGTCCATGATCTTACATCATTTACTCCATAAGATCCAATCACTAGATTTTTACTAGTAAGTCCCTAAGGTCCTTAAACAATATCTACCATAGCACACTAAAATTTGGTGTCAATTCAATGGTAAGATCGTCAATTGTTAGAATAATCAAGTGGCGGACATTATCGATAATATATTCAACCAACAACATTTCCATAACTCCAATGTCACACAACAAAAAAAATTCGACCTTTTTTCCCAAAAAAAATCTCAAATTTTACAAGAGCGAATATCTCAACAAGTAGAATAAATTTTATACTTGGGCCGAGTCCAATTTGGGCGGGAAGGCCCTCAAATTGGCTTGCACCCAACGAAACCCTAAGGTGGGTGCTCTTCAATTCGGCTTCTTTGGTGTTCCAAGTTCCAACGCCCCAACCACCAGTTGGGTCTTGTTCCTGGGTCCAAGAGAAGTTGAATAAGGGTGATGGTGAATGGTGACACTCACCGGAATGACGAATCGCCGTCGAGAACCCCTGGGTTCTCCGGTGGAGTTCTACCTGAAGTAAGCCTCAAACAAACTTGATTTTTGGTGGAGATGGAAGGAAGGATATAGTCGAGCAAGTTATAGGTGAAGTAGACAAGAAGGTCAGCTGAGAATCGGAGGAATTGGCTTGAAATTAGCGGGTTTGAAAATATGTTGGTGAAGCATACGGGTCACTAATTGGGGGTGGGGGAGGGGAGGGGAGGGGGGGGGGGGAATGTCCACTTCTCACCTCCCTCAACGGTCCTTTTATAACCCTAAAAAAAAATTTATTGGTCCCTTAAAAAAAAAACTAACTTAACCTTTACCCACATGCGGGAATTTAATAATTCCCATAATCTAAAGTTCACAATTCAAACGTCCGTAATTATACCGTTATAATTCGGATTCACAAACGGTTTTCGCCTATGTATTTGTTGGTTTGAGATCTATTAAAAAAAACTAGTTGTAAATTCCAAATGTCAACGAGAGATAAAGATTGATTATGAAACTTCCAACTCGATACCAAATCAATTTCCAAACTTAAAATTAATGGAATTAAAATTAACTAATAAAGATCACGTAATCATGAAATACGAATTTAAAATACGGGATACTTAATGTATGTTGAAATTCCGGGGATGGGATTTCACATCAATACTGAAATGTATTATATTGAATTAAACCTAAATGTCATATGTGTACCAAAATGTATTATATTCAATTAATGTACTTATATATTTGTATTGATGGATATACCAAAACATATCAAATGAATTAATGTACCTAAAAAAAGAACATACAAATTGTATTGGAATATATTAATATAAAAAAAAAAATTAGTTTACCTAAAGGTAAACATCAAAATACATTCTGATGAATAAAATAAAAATAAAATAAAATTTTAATTAAGACATTAAAAATGGGAAGAAAAAGAGAAATAAAACATCAAAATATAATTAATAAATGAAGTGATTAAATGTATCAAGACAAAAATTGAATTTTAAGGATTAAAATGAAGTTGAAAAAAAAAAAAAAAAAAAAAAAAAAGCTTTGAACCCTGTAGAAGCTTTTAAGAATTCCAAGAATCAACGGGTCAGATGGGTTTACCGAAAACGAACGGTCTTGATTATAATGTTCATCGGCTTATCCAAAAGTGCAAAAGTTTGAACATAACCAACCAAAATTCAATCTTGAGGGAGAGAGCACGAAGATGGGTCTTCTTCTCTACTCCAATCCTCTGCCTCTCACCACCGCTTCTTACCCTTCTTCTTCTTCTTCTTCTTCTTCTTCTTCTTCGCCGCCTCCAACTTCATCACCTTCATCTTTCTCTGCAACTAGTAAGCGCTCTCTCTCTCTCTCTCTCTCTCTCTCTCCCCCTCTCTCTCCCCATGTACTTAGTATATCAGCTTTTGCATTTTTCAGTTGTGTATTATTTAATTTACTTCAAATGCTCGCCTAAATTCTCCAAATCACACAGCTCAATTGGTTGTTCTTGGTTGGTTTCTGCTCGTTCAGGTTTATTGTCAAACACTTGGCGTGCACCCATCCTTAGATATGCATTCAGCCTCCAATAATCCAATTTTCATCTGCATTTTCGTTTTTTCTAGTGTCAATACATAAATATGTTTAATATTTTCATATTCGAGGAGCGGTTTTATAGTTACTTTGGTGTGTATATCAGCATTTTTTTTTGTATATTTTTGGTCTCATATTTGTATGATAATTTTGTTTTTTGGTTCAGTTTCATGGATGCACATGAAACCCAATAATCTGCATCCGAAATGTTTCAGCGGAGTTCGACTTCATATGCCCGTTGTGAAAAGGTCAGCTTCAGTAGTTGTTAAGGCCTCCTCTGACATTGATGGAACTGCTGCTGCAAATGAGGGCAGTGAGCCCCTTCCAGATAGCAAGGAAGAGGCCGTGGTACCTGTCGACAAGCTTCCTTTGGAGTCAAAGCTGCAAGAGAGGCTAGAGCAGAAGAAGAAGATGCAACTGGCGAAGAAAATAAGGCTTCGCAGGAACAGACTTGTTCGCAAGCGAAAACTGAGAAAGAAAGGCAGATGGCCTCCATCAAAGATGAAGAAGTTAAAGAATGTCTGAGGTTTACCTCATGCTTTCTTGCAGGTTTAGTTCTGACCCTTTTTGTTTATGCGGACGCGTGATTTTTGTTATTGCAAGATCAAATGTCTCTTCATATTGATGTAATTTCGTAGTTTGAATCTTGATGATGTCAATGAAAATAGTATTGCCCAATAACATCTGAACTAGGATTATAGATGGCAGAAATGGATTTGCTTTTCCGTGTCGCAGATGTGAGAAATTTGGTTGATTTAAGCAATTCTTCCATCTAAAATTGTAGATATTGTCTCAAATTTTGCTCCAACATTTACATTAAGTTAAACCAATAATTCAGGGTAGGCTGCTTGGCACAAAAAACCCTGTAACTGAAGTTTGTTTGCAACCCCTAGAATGTAGAATTTGTCTCCCAATACTTTTTTAACTCCCATAATTATCTCTCCAATATGATGAATCCGAATCCTTTCATGTTTTTTTGCTGCGTAAGCATTTACAGATTGACATTCAGTGTCGCGGTGAATTTGTAAGTATTCCATGACTCTGTCTGTGTGCAGGCTCTTCTAAGACCAACCCGCTAGTTTGGGGTTTTATCCACTTAACTCTCAGTTTTTAGGAGAGACATGAGAAAGAAAACTCTAAACTATTTAGGATCAAAACCAGTCACCGTAGAACACCAAACAGCCACCTCCCTATTCTGATTTCAGGGCTCTAGAATCAATTTGGAAAAATAAACTCGGCCTTGCCCCTTCGATCCATGTGGAGAATTGTTTGTCCTTGCGTTTTTGCAAGGTTTTGATCATCCCCTGGCTTGTTCAGGGCTGTTCTCCAGTTTTATGGCTGGATCTTTCTTCCAAGACATCCAATGCAAGCGTTCTTTTTTGCTTTGGGCGAAGGCTGAAGATCTATTTCAGATCTGGTGTGTGGATCTTTCCTTTAGCTGGTGGAGAAATAAAGTTTTGAGTTTGGATCGGTATATAGAGAGGAGTGGTCGTTATTTCACTAGTGAATCTGCAAATTTCATGGTGCCTTTGATGACGAGCAAGTACTTTGGCCCTCCAATGGGGGCGTGGGGGAAAAATTGAGCGGAATTGCCATTTCCCTTTTGAGGTGCATCTTTGTTGGGACGATGCAAGTTTTGTCCCTTGTTGGGTGTTGCTGCAACAATAGTGTTTAATGTGAAGAAGATCCTATTTCTAATTTGTTGTCGGCTCTAATGAGTTTTGTCTGTTGTACCGTGTTTCAATATTTGTATGCCAAAACCCTCCCTTTACGGGGCTGATTGTATTATTCCTAACATGTAGTTTGCTCCTGTATTACGAATGAAGAAAATTCTCCTTTCCACCCGAAAAATAGAGTTTTGGTCACAAATGGGCACCCCCCTTCATTTTGGTTTTGATGGTGGTGCATTTCTCCTTTCACTTACCCTTAGTTTTTTTTTTATTTTTTTTAATTTTTAGAAAATGAATAATTTAATATTAAAGTTAACTAAAGTTAGTTGAAAGAACACATGTCAGACGATACGGTGTATGGTGAGCATACACCAGATTTATGGTGATGAGCAAAAATTCTCGTCTTGAAGGTGAAAACCAACCATTGTCTCCCTTTGATATAATTCTATCATATACATTTTATTATCCGTATGTGGTGCACATGTGGGTTCTACGAGTCTAATTAGGTTGTTCCACATGGAAAGTAATTTATTGTGATTATTTTTATGGTCAAGTAAGATATCTTTTATCACATTAAAAACTAGTACAAGACCCAAAAATAACCAGGTAAATAACTCCAGATAAAGTAAAGTCCAAGCAAAATGAGAGCGACAATCCAAGATACAACGGGAAGTTCACACAAATTTAGGCTTGAATGTTGCAAAAGCAAAGACCAAACTGCCACCACCGCCACATCCTCGGAGGAAGCAAAACTCAGAATTGAGAAAATAGCCATCAAATCCGAGTTCCCTTCATGAACCCCCACAAATATATACAAAGAAAGTATCATATGGGTAGAGAGTGAGGCTAAAGGGTTTGTAAAATACTCCACACTTGGACTCGATGGGAATTTAGCATGCCGGTTGGGAGATGGGAAGTGAAGGAGGGAAGCGGATTTCATATCCAATTTCTGAACCATAATGTGCTGACCCGAGCACATAGTGGGATGGGATGAAGTATCATAACTAGGGATGAGGGAGGAAGGAAAAATAAAAGACAGAAAGCAGTAGGCAAAAAACGTCGGATAAGGGCCATGAAGTTCAAATCTGAGACAAACTCAGGAGATGGTTCAAATCTGACTCAGGAAAACTAAGATAAAAATCCCAAGGAGAACTGAGAAGGAAAAAGGAAGAGGAGGTGGATGCAGGAGGGGGAAGGGACAGAGGGGATGAGAGAGGAGAAAAGGAAGGAAAGGGCAAAAAAGTGAGGAGGGAAGGAGGAAGAAAAGGAGTAGCGGACTGCCGCCTACCCTTAGTAAGAGCAAGGGGCGGCGACTGAAACTTGAAACTGTAAAAGGAGGGGTTGCTTCTGAATCTGGAATTTGGAGTTCACATTGAGAGACATAAACCGTGTTTTTTTGCTTATTTATTGTGATTTAAAACCATAAGAACAAGTAGTGGATTGGTGTTTGGGGGCAGGTAGCAGAACAAAGTTTTTTTTATCAATCATTGTACATGGGTGGAAAAAAAAGTGAAGATAAAAATGGGCTGTGAGAAAGCATAAGAAAAAAGATACGAGATCAGTGGTGCTTTTATTGCAGATTATGAGGGTAGAGATTCAGATAGTTGGGTTTTCCTAGGGTTTGAGAATGATAGTTTGAGAAGAAGATACGCCATGTTTAACTATACGCTCGCATACGCGTATTCCATTGTATTTGGCGTTGTTTTATTTATTTTGGATGTCAAATAAAAGAGTTAACAAAGCTATCTCTTAGTTAAATCATAGGACATGTGACAAAATATTAGTAAAAAGAAGACACAACGGAGACAAAAAATGGGACATCAGACATGTAACTAGTCGCAAATGGTGGCTCCCATGACGCCAAACCAACCCATTTATCAGTTTATATAATTGAATAATTTATCTCTACACCCACATCTGTTTTAAGGTATAACTGGAATATAAAGTTTATACAAAAACTAATGGGTGAAGATAAAATTATTGGGTTTAAATAAATTGTTTTTTTAATCAAGTCTTGTCTAAAAGATTGATCTGATTTAAAAGTCGTCCGTCTATACTTGTGATTTGCCATTCCAAATTTATTATTTGTTTTTAGTATTTTGAATTTCTAGGTGTATTTGATTTTTATTTATTTATTTTACAGCCTTGAGAAAAGTGGTTTGATGGGCATTTTGGTTATTTTACATTTCACTTCGGTATTTGGAGGTGGGTTTAGAGGCATGATAAAAAAATCATTGCAATCCCATCGCACCATGAAATGACATTCTCTATATGTAACTGCTCTAACTTAATATATTCTTTATATTTCTTTTCTATACTTCGAGCATTTTGACTATATGGCAAATTATTACAAATTTTGAGGATGAAATTTTTTTAAATGTTAGCTGTGCCTAGAAACTCTCTAAACTTTTTGAGTATTTTGATAAATGGTTAGTTGTGACGAGAAACTCTCTAAAAGTTTTTTGTGTGCATGTGTGAAAAGCATGGGGTAATAGTGCTCGCCAATCATCCCATTATCATATTAAAATTAAAAGAGGAGATTTACAAATAATGGGGACATAAAGCAAACCTTGTTGAGGAAATAACAACGCAAGTAAGATGGTAGGGGAACCTAAAAGCCACCCCATGTACAAAGTAAAACAAATAGTAAAAAAAAAAAAAAAATCAACTGAAACGAAAATTGGTAAAAGTAGAAAGATCATGACATAAGCAGAAGCTACACACATAAATGAGCTTTGGACTACCAATAATATGCATCATGATTTGTGAAAAATGAGTATTTATCAAATATAGCCAAATATTAGCCTCTAATTTCAAAAATGTCAATTTTTATAAAAACTTTCAAATATATTCAAAATATCACTTAAATAGACACAAACACCCTTAATTCATACAAATAACTAGTTGATAAAAAGATTCTTGTGCGATAATCAAGTGGTGCTTTCACTAATTTTTCTATTGTGCACCATAAGAATTTCTATTCCATAAACCTTAAAATATGTTTTTTGCACTTTCTAAGAACACAACAAATCTCTTGATTCACTACCACAATCAATGATAACCTTCAAAACAGAATCCGGACACAGACAACACCCTTAATATTGCAAAAGTGGAAAAAGCACATATAATCCAAAGGAAAATTGAGATAAATAATGTTACAAAAATTGACAGTTCATTCTTCCATAAATATTCAATCGAAGGAAGAAACTACAAAAGCAAAGAGAAAGCGTAGACGAGGAAAAGTGCAAAAACTTAACCATCTACACTCATCTTCGTTTAGGAGTGCACAATTCTTCACCAACAGTCGATACTTTCACTAGGTCTCCTCCAATTTTAAGGTTTTGTTGTGAGAACTCTTCATCTAATAGGGTTTTGGTTTTTTTAATTTATTAGGTTTAAAGCTTAAGGGTATTTGTGTCTATTTAAGTGATATTTTGGATATATTTGAAAATTTTTATAAAAACCAACATTTTTGAAATTAGGGGCTAATATTTGATAAATACTCGTGAAAAATCTCCGTCAAATTGAAGAAATCATCAGTTAAGGGAGGGGTTCATTTGACAAAAATACCCTTAATTTTAATTGAGTTTTTTCACAGAATTATCAAAATGATTGACGGTGGACAATCTCAAGAACCACTTTTGTCGATTTTAAATCTCAGAAACTAAAATGAAGAGTTATGCCAATCTTAGAGATTATTTTGAATAAAAAAGCTTAATAAAATAGGAATGTTACTTTCTTTCATTTGTATTTGTTATTGGACTTTAGCCACACGACCATTTCTTTCCCGGCAACTTCAAAGCTCCCTCCTTGAAGATGCATCCCATTTTTCTAGTGAGAACCAATGAAGGGGGTCGTTAACCTGCAGTCTTGAGTTTGTTAAGGGGCTACACGAGACTCACATTAGGCTGTCGATCTTGTGTTTGTTGATGGCTTCTTCTTCTTCATCTGTTCCTGATTGGAAATATGATGTCTTCTTGAATTTTCGAGGCGAAGACACTCGCAGGACCTTCATCGGCCATCTCTACAAAGCTCTAGTTCAGAACTCAATCAACACTTTCATTGACGCTGAAGAGCTCAGAAAAGGCAACTGCCTTTCACAGCTACTGACAGCTATAAGCGACTCGAGGCTTTCAATTGTAGTTTTTTCTCAAAACTACGGTTCTTCCACATGGTGCTTGAAAGAACTCGTCCAAATCCTGCAATGCATGGATCAGAAGAAGCAGATTGTGATTCCCATTTTCTACGAAGTAGACCCATCTCATGTTCGTAAAATCGAGGGAAGTTTTGAGGAAGCTTTTTCTAAACATGAACATGATCCTAACGCCGACATGGAAGAAGTGCAGCGGTGGAGGTCTGCTCTACAAAGAGCACCCGATTTATGTGGCTGGGATTCACAAAATTACCAGTAACTCAGTCCTTCATTATCTTATTAACTTACTAGTTTAGAAGTTTAGCTAATTTCCTGTTTTGGTCTTTTTAGTTTTGAAGAAAATTCTTATTTCGTTTATAGTTGCTAATTTCCCTCTACAAAACTGAATACTCATCAACTCTCTGCAAAACTTTCCACCACCAGACCTAGATATTTGATATGAGAAGGGAAGACGAAACTAATTAAAAAAATTAGGGGCCCTTGATATTGATCTTGCGGTGAAGAATTCACTTGTTTTTATTTACTTTTTCACATGGGATGACGTCGTTTGTACAAAAATTTCATGATGAGGAAAGAGCAGGTGTAAGAAACAGAGAGGAGACATAATGTACAAAAGACGTCGTCCAACATTAATAAGTAAAAAAGAACAAGTTAAATTAATTCTTCACAGAAAGATCAATATATATGGCCAGGATTAAAAGGTCTATAAAACATCTGGAGAGGATATAGATGACTAGTTCTCTTATATGTTGATTGAACTTAGAAGAGTGCATTGAGTAAACGAAAGAAGAGTAATTGAGAATTATTGGGTCGTTACTTTGCGTTTTCAATGACAGTGTTATATAACTAGCAATCCCCGGACTTGACAATAATGTTTTTCAAATTTGACAGGGATGATGCCAAGCTTATTGAGTTGATTGTGGATGATATTTTTAAGAAATTGATCAACATCTTATCAAGAGAAAAGAATGGCTTGGTTGGAATGGATTCCCGCTTACAGAAAATGGATTCACTATTATGTCCCGAGGTCGGTAACGTTCGCTTTGTTGGAATATGGGGTATGGGCGGTATAGGCAAAACCACCATCGCTAGAGCTGTGTATGACAAAATCAATCATCACTTCGAAGGTCGTTGCTTTCTTGAAAATGTCAAGGGACGTTTTCCCTCAACTGATGCAGGTGAAGCGCCACTAGATATGCAGGCAGAAATTCTATCTAGTATCACAAATACGAAGGTGGGGAGTTCACAGATTTTGAGAAATGGTTTTCAGAAGATGATGGAAAGAGTTGGTAAGAAAAAAGTTTTATTTGTTCTGGATAATGTGGAGAGTTCATCCCAAATTGAAGCCTTAATTGGAAAGCAACCTGCATTTGGTGGCGGAAGTCGAATCATTATAACAACTAGAGATAAACAGTCACTAAGTAGACTTGGTGATCAGATATATGAGCCCGAGTTGTTAAATGACGATGATGCCTTCGAACTGTTTGTGCAGTATGCTTTCAGTACAAAGCAACCCACAGAAGAATACATTGATCTGTCGGGCCATTTCATAAAATATGCTCAAGGTTTGCCTTTAGCACTCAAAGTCTTGGGGGCATTTCTCGATAACAAAAGTGTACTTGTGTGGAAAGATGAGTTAAAGAAAATAGCAAGAAACCCGCACCTGGGAATCCAGAAAGTCCTTAGAACAAGCTTTGATGAACTAGATGGTTTGCAGAAGGAAATATTTCTTGATATTGCATGTTTCTTTAAACAAATGAAGAAAGACTTTGCAACAAGGATTATGGAGGGTTGTGACTTCCATCCCCATACCGGATTAGACGTTCTAGTTGGTAGAGCTCTTGTCTCTATCTCATCTGATGGTGTACTCGAGATGCATGATTTAATAGAGGAAATGGGTCGCGAAATCGTACGCCAAGAATATATAAAAGAGCCTGGGAGGCGTAGTAGGTTGTGGAGCTATGAAGATGTTCATCATGTGTTAAATAAAAAAACGGTGAGAAATACACTCCCCTCCCCTCCATTAATGTAATTACTTCGAATCTTCTCTCTCCCATTAATAATAATAATAATAATATTAATAAAAGTATAATAATAATAATAATAATAATAATAATAATAATAATAATAATAATAATAATAATAATAATAAAAGTATAAAGTTTCAACCTTGACCAAAATCCAATTCACAAGAAACATGTGCATTAGGCATTATAATCTTAAGTTTGCACTTATTCAATGTGCAATTTTGGTAATCCAGGCTACGGAAGCAGTTGAAAGCATAATTGTACATTGGCCACACTCAGACAATGTGGTGGAATTAGATACCGCTTTTGTTAAAATGACGAAACTAAGACTACTCAGAGTCCATACCCACAGTATAGAACAACTGAACAAGTTCGGTATTCAATGGCAACACGAGGATCTAAAGTTTCTCTCTGAAAAATTAAGTTATCTGTTCTGGCACAAATGTCCTCTAAAGTCTTTATCGTCCTATTTTAACCCAGAGAATCTTGTTGACATTGACATGCAATATAGTTGGGTTGAACACCTCTGGAAAGGAACTAAGGTACGTTCATCATTTGCCTATATACTGCTTTTAAATGGTTTAGTTTTTTCATGCTTTATTATGTAGGTAACACATATTTTCCTGGTTGTATATTGACAGCCTTTGGGAAAGTTGAAAATTATCAATTTAAAAGGTTCTCATCGTCTCAAGGAAACACCTGACTTCACTGAGGCAAAGAATCTTGAGAAGCTAATTCTTGTTGGATGCACAAATTTATATGAGGTTCACCCATCCATTTCTGCCCTTGAAAAACTTGTCCTCTTGGATCTAAGTTGGTGCGGCAAACTCAAGACCTTTTCAAGCAACATTTGTATAAAATCTCTTGAAACCCTTGATCTCTCTTTTTGCTCAATACTTGAGAAGTTTCCAGAGATTTCAGAAGTTACGGAGAAGCTTTCAAAGCTTTATTTGCAAGGGACTGCAATAAAAGAACTGCCTCGATCAATTAACAATCTTATGGGGCTTGTTACTTTGAATCTCGAATATTGCAGAGAGCTTAAGATTCTTCCAAGCAGCATTGTTCAACTGAAGTCGTTGCAATTTCTTAATCTTTCTGGTTGTCCAAAGCTCAAGGCCTTTCCAAGAAATGTCGGAAACATGGAAGGATTAAGAGAGCTTCGCTTGGATGAGACATCTGTTGAAGGCCTTTGCCCATCAATTTCATCTCTTCAAAACCTTGAGAGTTTGAGTCTAAAGCAATGCAAGAAACTTCATAGCCTTCCAAGCAGCATTCATATGAGATCTCTTCGAAACCTTAATCTTTCAGGCTGCTCAAATCTGGATAAGTTTTCAGAAATTCCTGAAGTTATGAACCTATCAGACCTTATTTTAGATGGGACTGCAATTTCAGAACTGCCCTCATCCATTAAAAATTTTACGAGACTCGTTACCTTGAGCCTGAAGGATTGCAGAAGATTAAAGATTCTTCCAGGCAGCATTCATATGAAATCTCTTCAAGCCCTGAATGTTTCTGGCTGCTCAAATCTGAAGAATTTTCCAGAGTTTCTAAAAGTTACGGAGAACCTAACACAGCTTCATTTAGATTGGACCGTATTCTCATCAACATTCAAAAATCTTACAGAGCGTGCACATGAGCAAGCCTCTCGCCGCCGAAAAATTGTTAAGTTTTCAGGGATTGCAATTGAAGAATTGCCATCCATAATTTATAGTCTTACGGGACTTGCTACATTGACACTACGGTATAGCAAAGACTTTAAGAGTCTTACAAGCAGCATTTGTCAACTCAAGTCCCTAAATTATCTCTCTCTTTCTGGTTGTACAAATTTTAAGGTGTTTCCAGACATATTAGAAAATATGGAAAGATTAGCCAGCCTTGATTTGGATAGAACATCTATCAGAGAGCTTCCTTCTTCAATTGAACGGCTTCAGGGGCTAGTGTCGTTAAATCTGAAAAACTGCAAAAGCCTGGTCTATCTTCCAGACAGTATGTGCAATTTGTTGAGTCTCGAATGGCTCACTCTCCATGGGTGCTCAAAACTTTCGAAATTGCCTGAAGACTTATGGTATTTGAAGCACCTTGACATAGAGGAAACTGGTATACGTGGTTACCGCCCAGAACAGCGATTCGTCACTTTGGAGGATTTGGCTCAGTTTCGAAGCACTGCACCTAAGATTAAACCCATGGTCCTAAACAATGAGCAAAATGAGGCGGTGGCTGATGTGGAATCCCACGATTCAGAAATTGCGACTGATCCTGAGGAGATTTCGACTGATCATGAGGAGTCAAGCTATGTGGAAGATATGAGGCAGCGACATTTGGAAGAAGATACAGCTACATTTGGAAGACATGAGGCAGTAGCACCTACCTCTTTAAAGATAAAGAGAATTTTTTTTGCTGCGGTTGTTGTTTGTTTTGTTAGATGGTTGGAAGAAGAAACAGCGACATTTCGAAGAGATGAGGTAGTAGCAGTACCAGTAGGAGTAGCAGTAGCAGTAGCAGTAGCATATCTCTCTCATATAAAGATACTTTGTTTGGGTGTGTTTGTTATGGTTTTTGTTTGTATTGTTAGATGAAGATACAGCGACATTTGGAAGAGATGAGGCAGTAGCATCTATCTCTGAAGATATTTTTTTTTTGTTTTGGTTTTTGTTTGTTTTGTTAGATGGACGGGCCGACATCTCTTCAGGAAAGATATTTTTTTGGCTTTTTTTTGGCCTTTTTTTTGTTGTGGTTTTTGTAAGATGGACGGGCCTGGGGGACCTTCTAACAACTCGATAGAGTCTCCAACTTGATAATTATCAATTGCCCAATCTGTCAGGTGTGGGGTTTAATTACCAATTGTCCATTCCGTCAGGTGTGGATTTTATCCTAGTAGACCTTGGTATTAATTTAGAATGGGCTAATCCTATTTAAACTCATTGGTTTTGTTGGAATAGATCAAAATCACAAGTATCGGTTGTACTTATCACTATAGCTAAGTTATGGGTTAAAGTGATGGCTACAACCTTCCAACTTGTCATCTCATTTCTTGTTCAACCATACTTCTCTTTTGTCAATGTTTTGTCCCTAAAATCTAGGATTTCCTTACTTGTATATTGTTATTTGTTTAGTCCTTGTTATGTCCGATTTTTAGGGCGGAAACCATGTGGTGGTGTAGTGGCTGAAGTCCACTGATTTGTAGTCAATTCTTTGGCTCTTTAAAAGAGCTTTGTTCTCTCTCTTGTAAAGTTTACGATCAATATACAAACTTTGAAATTCAATATGGTATCAAAGCACTGACCGTAGTGGCCTGTCTCTGCATATCTTCTTCAACCTCTTTGTTTTTCCATAGCTGTTTCAAATGGCTGAGGAAAACCCTTTCAGTCCTGATACTGCGAGCTCTAGTATTTCAGCCACATCAAATTTTACCGAAGTAGAAGTTAATCCAAATCAAAGACTCAGTTTAGTTTTGTTGAATGAGTTCAACTATCTTCCATGGTCTTGAGCTGTTTCACTTGCTCTCGGTGGAAGATCAAAGCTTGGTTACATGAATGGAACCATTCAGACACCTGAAATCTCATCACCTTTATATGAGACATTGCTATGCAATGATCAACTTGTCATGTCATGGCTTCTCAACTCCAAGGAGAAGAAGCTAGCTGAGATCTTTAGCTACTCAGAGTCTTCTTTTCATCTCTGGAAAAATGTCTGCGAGACGTATGGAAATCAAAACAATGCTGCCCAGATTTTTCAACTGAAAAGAGATCTTGTAGGTTTGCAACAAGAAAGTAAGTCTTTTGTTCAACACTTGGGTGATATCAAGAGTATCTGGAATGAGCTTGATATGTATAGGCCTCACACCACAGTTGCTTCCGTGCTTCTAAAGAGAGCTGAAGAAGATAAGATTTTTCAACTCTTAGCTAGTCTTGGCTCAGACTATGAAGATCTACGTAGCCACATTTTGATGAACAGTGAGTTGCCTTCCTTCTCAAGTGTATGTGCCATTATTCAACGTGAAGAAACTCGAAGGAAAGTGATGAACCTTGAAACCAAGAACAGCTTGCCTGTGTCTAAGGCATATATTTCTAACCACAGGTTCTTAGATGATAGAAAAGACAATGGTAGAAGGTTTGACCTGAAGTGCAAACATTGCAACTATGGTGGACATACCATTGACAAATGTTGGATTCTGCATCCTGAGCTCAAGCCAAACTTCCAGAAGAACAAGGGATTCCAGAGAAACTCACAACCACCCTTGTACAAAGCTAATCATGTAGCTTTAGCTGCTTCTCCTTCCTCATGAAAGTTTGCTTAACTTCACTTCAAATCCAGTAAGCTTGATCAATGAGTTTGCTGTTTATTTAGAAGGAAAACAAAGAAGTGGAGGTCTAGAGAACATAACTGGGACTGAAATTGAAAACCCTATTGCCTTGCTGAGCAAATTTGCTAGGTTTCTTGCTGATTCTGATCATGGAGGCTCAAGTAAACATATTCCAGGTATATTGAAAGCCTTATGCACTGCTTTAAATGCTAGTCTTGTGCATGATTTTTGGATAATAGACTCATGAGCCACATACCATATGACAAACAAATATTCACATTTACATGGCTTCGAAAAAATGAAAAACTCTTCACAAATATCAGTAGCAAATGGTAAGGGTGTCTCAGTTGTTGGAAAATGGAAAATTAAGTTGATCTCCGATCAAATAAAGTCAACAACCTTGTATGTTCCTTCCTTTCCATTTCACATTTTGTTAATAGGAAAAATCACAAGACAACTAAATTGTCATGCTGTTTTTTCTTCTGATCAAGTCATCATTCAGGATATGGTCACCAAGAAGAAGATTGGTGAGGGTTTCTTCCTAAATGGGTTGTATTATCTTTCAAAGGATCTTCCAAAATCTAAGAGTCTTCAAGTCAGCTCAAGCCCTTCTCAGGAACAACTATCTTGGCATCACTGTCTTGCTCATCCCTCAAACCATGTTTTGTCCATTTTGTTTCCCACAATGTGTAAAAATAGTTTGGAGTGTGATACTTATCACTTCTCAAAATCTACTAGGTTACCTTTCAATTCCTCAGTGTCTAGAGATAGTAAATTGTTTAAACTTGTTCATTCAGATAGCTAGGGACCTACAATTGAATATTTTGATGGTTATAAATACTTTGTAACATTTGTGGATTATTATTCAAGGATTACTTGGTTATACCTTTTAAAGTGCAAAAGTGAAGTCATGAATGTGTTTAAAGATTTTCATAAACTTGTAACAACTCATTTTGGTTGTCATATTCAAACCTTAAGGTCTGACAATGGCATTGAGTACATGTCAAATAACATGTCTCAATACTTAAGTTCCCATGGGATATTTCATCAAACAAGTTGTGTTGGCACTCCTCAATAAAATGGAGTGGTTGAGAGAAAAAATAGGGATTTGCTTGAAAAGACTACTGCCTTAATGTTGCATATGAATGTTCCTAAGAAGTTTTGGTCTTAAGGGGTGTTTTCTGCTACCTATTTGATCAATAAACTGCCTAGTAGGGTTTTGGATCAAAAATCACTGTACGAAGTCATGAAAGGAAGAAAGATTGACCTGTCTCATTTGAAAGTGTTTGGTTGTACTTGTTATGTTCATGTTGCTTCAATACATCATGACAAGCTTGATCCAAGAGCTAGCAAATGCGTTATCTTTGGATATTCTTCAACACAAAAATGTTCTAAGTGCTACAATCCTTCTTCAAGGAAAATCATTGTCTCGAGGGATGTAAAGTTTGATGAAACTACACCTTTCTTTAAACAATCAATGGAGGATTTAAGTTAGGGGGAGAATGTTTTCGAAACCTTCCCTTTACCAAGTCTAACAACCAGTGATGAAAATATATCCATGTCCACTGACAGAGAATACGAGAATCCTCTAAGTCATGAAGAGGAAACTTTGCTAGAGCCATCAATTCAATCACTTACATCCCACTAAAGGAAATATTTTTGAAAACTAGTTCATTTGAGCAACATCTATGCATGCAATTAACAATTAAAAGGCGGAATCATGCTTGTATGCACTCAAAAATAAAACTTTACCCATGAAATTCAAGGCCTAGTGAGTGTGGTGAACCAAGACTCAACTTAAGAACAAAGTGTGGTGAACCAAGACTTAACTCAAGAACAAAGTGAGTTGAGAAATATTATACCTTTGTTGATTCCTCTTTGCATAAGCAAAGGCTAATCACCCAAGAGATGGGGCCTTCATTCCTTACTGCTTAGCTCTATGGATTTCTTGGATGAGGATGGTAGAATGGATTCTCCAAGTTCCTAAAATAGAGAACCTCTAAGTCTCCACACCAAGGAGAGCATTGATGAAGAGATGAGTGACCTAGAGGAAGTAAGATTGCTAGCTATTTTCCTCTAGGGTGGCCAACCTCTTAGAGAGAAAAGAGAGCTTTGTGTTCTCATCTTTTCTCCAAAAGAAACCCTAATGATGAAATGTTATAAAGTTGTTTATATAGTCCCTTCAATTAAGTGACAAAAGAACCAAAAACCCTTCATCCTATAATGTGGCCGGCCTTAAGGATTCATTGGGCTTTCAAGCCCTTTGTGTTTTACTTGAGTTAATAGGCTTGACATTCAAATCCCATTGGGCCTTGCAACCCAAAACTAACCCGAGGTCTATAACGAACTTATTCGTTTGATTAATTAACGTATTAATCAATCATAGCCATAAATAATTAAACCATTTAATTGTCCTCATTCATCTCTGTGGTTTATTCAATCTCTACCTTACATGATGTACGATCCATTAGGTTCCTTTTAGCAAGGTAGTGGGTGATTAGAACTTTTCAAATCAATTGTGAATTGAAACATACTTTCAATTCTCCCTTTAGTGATTATACACCTTTAGGGCTTCCACAAATCATGAGTGACACCTAGCAGTATATCATGGTTGCCCAAGCTAATCAGAAGAGGTGGAGAACCTATTCAATTTAGGATTATAATGCAATACGGTCTTTCTCTAATACAATACTCTTGGCCACATTGTTTGGTTTAATAGTTTATTCATGTCTACTATCCAATGTGATTCATTTACTTATATGATTACCTTGAATGTGATATGGAATGACTTCCTAAATCTCATTCATACTCTGGCCAGAGATTCTTAATCATATCATAGAGTATTCTCCCTCAAACAGTTTGAATGTTAGAGATCCCTTGTTGCGCATTCACTTACCTCTATGGCTAAGTGGCTTAACCCCAACTATGCTGTGGACACCCTCTGATAGAGTGACTTTGACATAGTCAAAGATCAAGGACCTAACCACAAGACAACTATAATGCCTCATGTCAAAGGACTACTTTGCATTATCCCAACTATGAGTTCTCATGTGACATGAGTATGAGAACTTCTTGTTGATCGCGTTCAGTGGACTCATTCTCTATTGAGCACCTACATGTTTGTCTTGGTGTCAGTCACACCAATGACTCAAGACTAGTCACTCTCCCCCTAAGAGAAGACATAACACATACTGATTTTAACGGACTGTCAATGTTCAATTGGCAATCCTATGATCAGGAACATTTAGGATATGTAGACGAAAGAGAATGGTCTCATGTATTTAACTTCTTTAGATCATATTCTCCCAATTACGTATTCCTTGGACTTATCGTTTAAGTACATAGCATTTATATGAGACGGCTTTAAACAATAATCTTTGCCCTTTATATTAAGCTAGATTAGTTTAACATGTGAAATGTCCATAAAGTATCATCATATGATTGGCTTTAGGGCACATTTCCAACACCCACTCACCTCCTGATGATCCAGAACCAACGCCTGTCTTACCTCGAAGAAGAAGAAATCCTTTTTGTGATCGTCACCATTCTTCAAGGCTGCTGGATTATGTGACTTACAATGCAAGGTATCCAGTTGTTGAGTACCTTTCATACCAAAGGATGGCACCAAAACATGCGTCTTTTCTCAATTCCATATCCAATGCTTTTGAACCAAGAAGCTTTCAGGAGGCAATGCAGCACAATGAGTGGAAGAAAGGTATGAAGGAAGAGTTGAAGGCCTTGGATGACAATAAAACTTGGAGTGTTATCAAACTACCACCAGGAAAAAAGACAGTGGGAAGTAGATGGGTGTACAAAACCAAGTTTCACTCTAATCGCACCTTAGAAAGACACAAGGCTAGACTGGTAGCTTGTGGTTTTACTCAAACTTTTGGGGTAAATTACAAGGAGACATTTGCTTCTATAGCTAAGATGAACACAATTTGAGTGTTGTTATCTGTTGCAATTAATCATGCATGGCCTTTACATCAAATGGATGTAAAAAATGCATTTCTGAATGTTGAACTTGAAAAAGAAGTTTACATGAAACTCCATCTTGGTCATTCTCAATCCACTAACTCTGAGTTAGTCTGCAAGCTGCACAAATCCATTTATGGATTAAAACAATCCCCTTGTGCTTGGTACTCAAAATTAAGTTTAGTTCTTGAAGAAGTTGGCTTCAAGAGAAGCAACGCAGATTCATCTCTTTGTTCGAATTTGTTCTAGTGGAGGTGGTTCTTATTTATGTGGACGATCTCATTGACACTGGTGATAACGCTAGTGAAATTGTGTTACTTAAGAACACCCTCAAGTTTGGGACACTCAAATATTCCCTTGGCATTGAAATGGCAACTTCTAAGAAGGGACTGTTTTTAAATCAACGAAAGTATATTCTCAATTTGCTTCAAGAAGCCGATATGGTAGATTGCAAGCTTGCTTCTACACCTCTTGACTGCAAATACAAAATGACCATGGATGGAGAAACACTCAATGATATCAGTTACTACCAAAGGTTAGTTGGGAGACTTATTTATCTTACAATAACAAGACTAGACATTGCTTTTTCTGTCAGTCTTGTTAGTCAATTTATGCATTCTCCAACAATGGATCATTTGCAAGTTAAGAGAATACTGCGGTACTTGAAAGGTTCTGTGGGACGTGGTCTTTTGATGCAAAACAATGCTCACACTCACATCCTTGGTTACATTGATGCGGACTGGGCAAGCAACTCCTTGGATTGCAAGTCAACTACTGGTTTTTGTATTTTTGTTTGAGGAAATCTGGTAAGTTGGAAAAGCAAGAAGCAAAGTGTGATTGCTCGATCCAGTGCTGAGGCTGAGTATAGGGCTATGGCAACTACTGCTTGTGAATTAATCTGGCTCAAAGGCCTTCTTTCTAATTTAGGGTTTTCTAGCTCTCAACCAATGACTCTCATGTGTGATAACCAAGCAACCATGCATATAGCTTCAAATCCTGTTTTCCATGAGAGGACCAAACACATCGAGGTTGACTGCCATTACATCCATGAAAAGGTTCAATCAAAGATCTTACAAACTCGTTACACTTCGAGTTCCCGTCAGTTTGCTGATTTCTTCACAAAGCTATTGACGACTGCTGTGTTTCAAGGTCTTTTGTCCAAGCTTGGATCAATCAATCTCCTTGATCCAAGCTTGAGGGGGAGTGTTGGAATAGATCAAAATCACAAGTATGGGTTGTACTTATCATTATAGCTAAGTTATGGGTTAAAGTGATGGCTACAACCTTCCAACTTGTCATCGCATTTCTTGTTCAACCATACTTCTCTTTTGTCAATGCTTTTTCCCAAAAATTTGGGATTTCCTTACTTGTATATTGTTATTTGTTTAGTCTTTGTTGTGTTCGGTTTTTAGGGTAGAAACCATGTGGTGGTGTAGTGGCTGAAGTCCACTGATTTGTAGTGAGTTCTCCATCACTTTAAAAGATCTTTGTTCTCTCTCTTGTAAAGTTTATGATCAATATACAAACTTCGAAATTCAATAGTTTTCTTTTCCCCCACCGATGTGTGACTGCCAACAAATTCCTCAGTACATTTTGATTGGTCCTAAGGAGTCAAGCTATGTGGAAGAGATGAGGTAGCGACATTTGGAAGAGATCAGGCAGCGACGTCAATGTTTGAAAGAGATGAGGCGGCAACGTTTAGAGTTCCTTGAGGTAGAGGGAATTGTAACATCTCTCTTTAAAAACGATAATTTCTCAGCACTTGGGTATCACGCCCCGATCCCAACATACGTCTAGGATCGACACGTGACGTCACCAAATACTCGTATATCTCACATACCTCGTCTCCGGGATATGGCAAATCACAATTCGAGAATCCAATTGCAAAGAAATTTTCGTTAACCTTATGGCTATATCCAACCTCCTCGTTAGACTACCTACGTACCCTCAATAGAGATCAAGCCATTCGTAATTCACTTATCACAAAATCAGACGTTTATTCCATTAAGTTCAAGCAGAAAAGCATAGCATTCCTCAATCATTTATTATCACTTGACAACATGTAATTCCTGGACTCAGGCTACATAACCAATCCCCATGAAAACATGATTTCTCTCCCATCCAACATATAAATCATTATGTCTCATCACGATATCGCAATTCACAACACACATCATATTTAAGAGTCGACAAAACACAAAACCATTCTCTAGCTGCATTAATTAATTAATTTGATTAAAGTAATAACAATCATTCTCATATCTTCTAAATTCATACCTTATGAAATCATAATCGAATCATAGAAATCCCGAAGGAGTCACTCAGATGTCCAACATATTTTCTAATTCAATTCACAAGACTCTCGAAACCATTGACACAAATATATATAAAACTAAGGCTAGAGTGACACAGTTAGGCCAAGCCTACTTCTCCAACTAATGGGATTTTAGGCCACTCCACGAAATTCAACAACCTCGGGTTCTGGACCACTCAACGGAACCAAACCAAATATGATCGCCTATAAAATGTACCATGTACAACCAATCATCATCACCTTTAGAATGCGTATGGTCCCCCATCGCGGATATATCAAGCAGGACCATAGGCATAAACTCATCATACAGGCAGTGATCACCCATCGCGGATATACCAAGCATGATCACCCCTGAATACATATGGTCCCCCATCGCGGATATACCAAGCAGGACCATCCATGTACCACTACTACGTGGTGCAATCTCATCATCACACATTAAACATAATTATGCGCATACAAGCTATCGATTCCACATATTAACCAACATCTAGTCATATGAAGCACAACACAAGGAATTCCCTTAATTACTATTTCTACTAAAAATCTAATAAAGTACCTAACTCATCTCCTGACTTCCATCTCCATCTCATGCTAGGTAGTAATGCCAAGTTCAAATAGGTATTCAGTTGGCAATCATATCCAAATAGTTATCAAACAATATTTAAATCCCATAATTGTCATAACATTCATCATAATTATCAATCACATTATTAAAAAGATAATTAAACACATATATATCACAACATCATCAGTGCACAAGCCACAACCTATTTAATAAGCAAAGGTCTATGGCTAAATATATAAAAATCACATTTCAATAGAAATCATATTTATAAGACCAATTCATGTTCACAATTGATACTAATATAAGAAATTAAGATAATAAACATATCTCATATATTCAAGTCACTATCTAACCAATATAGACCCACTGGTCATGCGCCGCCAGTGGCGGTTGGCCTCCCTGACTCGCTGAAAAAATTCAACTATTTTAAAATTTTCCAATTTTTACAAGCAAGTAGAGTTCAATGAGAGGAACAACTTTCATACCTAGGCCGAAGTCCAATTCGACCGGGAAGAATCCCAAATTCACTCAAACCCGCTGGAAACCCTAAGATGGGTCTTCTTCTATTCGACTTCCTTGATGTTCCAACGCCCTTACAAGTGATTGGGTCTTGTTCTTGGGTCCAAGAGAAGTTGATCAAGGGTGATGGTGAATGGTGATGCTCATCAAAACGACGAATCGTCGTCGAGTTCTACTAGAATTAGACCTTAAAAACCCTTGATTTTTGGTGGAGATGGAAGGAGGAAGGTAGTGGAGCAGGTTGCTGGTGAAGGGGATAAGAAAATCATTTGAGAAATGGTAGAAATTGGCATGAAGTTGGCCGGTTTTTGAAAAATGGCTAGTGGAGTACACGAGTTCAAGAAATGGGCTAAAGAAATGTCCACCCCCTACTGGTCCTTTCTCTTCCTCTAATAATTGGATTGTCCCCACCTTTTTTTTTTTTTTTACTCCTAGTAGCCGGTTCCCTTAACCCAATTATATATTTGGGCCCTTTAGCCTCAAAGTGGAAATTAAATAATTTCCACAACCTAAAGTTTCGCAACTTCAAACGTCCATAACTACACCATTAAAATTCGGACTCGTAAACGGTTTTCGCCTATGCGTTCGTGGTTTCGATATCTATTCGAAAACGCTACTTGTGACCTTGAAAGGTCAACAAGTAAATAATAATTTTCCAAACTTCACTATTCGTAATTAGTTTAATTGAAATCTAAATTCAAATAAATTAATATAAATTCTCGAAAAATAATATAAAATCTCAATAATACAAATATGTAGATTATAACAATGAAATTCAGGAACGGGGTTTCACATTGGGGGTTTTGGATCAGTGTCAGAGCACCGCACCTTTGAGTGATATGGTGGACTCAAGCTACAGGGAAAATGAGGAGTGATCTCAAGTAGTCGAGACATGAGGAAGAGAAGGAGGAGAAGGCGGTGGCAGCCTCAAGGAGAGGTGGGATGATATGGGGTTGCATCTATGGGTCACAAGGTAATGGGGATTGAGGTATTTGGCGCATCATCACTGATATAGTAGTAAGACTAAGGGACATGGGAGAGGGAAGAAATGGTGATTTTGTGTGGTAAGAGTTTGTGACTCTTTCATGTTTTGAGTTAGTTTCTGTTTCTGAGAGCTCTTCTATTTAGTTTTTTGCTTTTTTGCGTATTTCTTTCTAAACTTGTGGTTGGTACGTGGTCAGTATTTACTTATCCATATGTTTTGTAAACTTGTTTTTTCTTTCTTTTCAATCAAGTATGTATTGTTAGTGATTAAGCCTTGAAGCTGATTTCTTAAAGTTCAAGTTCCTTGATTACTTAGTCTTGTTCTTATTTGTTTGAATTGGAAAATGGATGGCTGAGATTAGACTAGCTCGTAGACTAGGATTGTGCCAGCTGTCATAGTAGCTGACTTTGTCTTAGATATACACGTACAAGACACGAGTATGCGAGGCATGTGATGCATGTGAAGTTTGTAACGGTTCATTCTTGTATTCTCTCTCTCATTTTTATTCAGTGGACGAAATTGAATCAAAGAGGAAGTTGGAGGTACGTTTTCCATATTCCTTCTCATGTCTTTTCCTTTCATTCCTTCTTCTCAGATTCATCAAATTCTGCTAACTAAAATTACAAATTAAAATATAGGGTTAATTCATCTCAGTTTACTGTCCTGAAGTTTCTTCGTTTTCAGCATTTCATACATCAAGTTTTTTTTTTTTGCCCATTTCAATCTGAACTAGGATTATATGACAAAAATGCATTTGCTTTTACTGTGTCGTAGATGTGAGAAATTTGGTTGAGGCAATCCTTTCATCTAAAAATGTAGAAATTGTCTCAAATTCTGCTCCAACATTTTGGACCAAATAATGCAGGGTAGGCTGCTTGGCACAAAAAACGCTGTAACTGAAGTTTGTTTGCAACCCCTAGAAAGGAAGAAGTTGCCTCCCAATATTTTTTGAACTCCCCTGGTTATCTCTCCAATATGATAAATCCAAATCCGAAAATTTTCTCTTGCCACTGAGCATGTACAGATTGACATTCAGTGTCAAGGTGAATTTGCAAGTATTCCATGATTGTGTCTGTGTAGGCTCTTCGAAGATCAACCCTACAGTTTGGAGTATTATTTTAACCATTGGATCTGCAAATTCATGGCGCCTTTGGACCTATGATCACGAGTAACTACTTTGGCCCTCCAAGTGGTGGGGGGTGGGAATTGAGCGGAATTGCCATTTCCGTTTTGAGGTGCATCTTTGTTGAGACGATGCAAGTTTTGTCCCTTGTTGGATGATGCTGCAACACTAATGTTTAATGTGAAACAGATCCTACTGCTAATTTGTTGTCGGCTCCAATGAGTTTTTTTCTGTTGTAGTTGTACTGTGTTACTTTTGTATGTCAAAACCCTCCCTACGCGGGGTCGATTGTACTATTCCTAACATGTAGTTTGCTCTCTTATTAAGAATCAAGAAAATTCTCAGTTCCATCGGAAAAAAGAGTTTTGATAATAAATGATCCTTGAAATTGGCATCCCTCATCGCTTTGGTCCTGAAGTTAAAAACCGACCAATGTCTTCCTTCCATCTTAATTCTGTCAAATATTATTTTATTGTCCTAATGTGGCACACGCATGAGTCCTACAAATCTAATTAAGTAGTGCCACGTGAAAACTAATTAAAATGTATAAATAAATAAAAATATTTAAAACCATAAAAAAAAAAAAAAACAACAAATAGTGAATTGCCGTGGTGTTTAGCTGACGTCCTCTTGTTCCGGGTCATAGGGGTTGCAACGGGCGGTGATTAGATCTGGGTAATTATTCGAGGGGACTAAGGGGTGTGAGACCCAAACAAAGTTGTGAAAATAAGCTCCCTAGATGTTTCTAATAAATTTTAGGGACGGCTTTGATTAATTTTCAACTTCAAAGATTACAGTGATGAACAGTGTCACATTCAAGGACCATTTGTGATAAAAATTCAAACTATCTCAAACATATATTTTTTGAATCATGCTTCACTACTTAGTATTGAAGCAAAATTGCAAAATATTGCTTAAAAAAAAAAAACAAATAATAATAGACCAACAGAAGGGCCCAACGATGATGATCCTCCTAACATTCTTTTTCACTCAAGAATTTCAAAACAAAAATCAATTTAATTTATTATCCAAAGTTGCTGCTACATGTAAATTGTAATCGTTAAAAGTGGCTCGACAAATGAATGCTTATAATTTTTATGTTAACCAGAATTTGTGGCCGCCATAATCTAATCAACTCAAAGCTTTTCCCTTCCTGCCATAAACTGTGTCCGTCAACAAATCCAATTTCTGTAGGAATCTACCATTAGTAAAAGCTTCCTGAAATTTTTAGAGGAAAAAGGCAATGTGTAAGCAGAAACCTACGCAATTCGGAAAAGAACTCAATAATCCTAGACCCAAAACTATACCTCTAAACTATAAGTTGAGAATCAGAGCAACCACGACGATAAGTATGCATGGCCTTGCAACAACACCAGCTGAGGTCGACCTGCAGGCATCACTAAGCTGTAGTCAGTAGCAATACAAGTAAACAAGTTCTTCGGTTTATATTACACTGGAACACATGAATGCTTTAAAACATTATGTAGTAGTGATAGATTGAAACCTAGAAGCCACCACCGGTCCCAACTCCCTTGTATATTTCATTTCTTTCTTTTTCCCATCAAGTTTTGTAATATGAACAATCGTGCAGGAAAACATGATACCTGCTACGAAGCTGGTCCTATATAGATATATATGTATGAAGAGTTACCTTGTTACAAGCTCCTTTACCGACTCAGTTTCCAGTCCGAACCCAAACGGGAAAAGTGGATCATAGTGTGAATCACCAACATTCATTGGGAGTTGACCAACAGTTCTAAACCATGTTCTTGGAAGCTTTCCACTGAATCCATGATCCCCAAAAATGACATCAGTAAAGCCTTGGCCTTCAGAGCCTGGCAACCATGCTGCCACCATAGCATCAATCGAGGAAATATATGGTTCAATTACAATAGGTCTGCCAGTTATTAAGATAACAATGCACTTGACACTTTCACACACATTGCTGATGACACTTGGGTCAGGTTCTTGTGGACTTTTATTCAAGAAAAACAAGATTACCCTCAATAAATAGGTAGGTTTCTCAGATGTTCCCACGCGCAACTCACACGCCTGGAGGTCTCAATAGCTGAATACAATTACCCACAACTCACCTGCCCTTGGCAAGGAATTAAAGATAAGGATTAATTACCCAAATTCTATCTTTAATACATTCTCAATTGAAGATTGACTCCAATCAAGTAAGTAATCCTAATTTAAATAAATTAGGGATAATTACACCATTATCTCAAGATATTATTTCCTATTTAATATAATGAGAATATTTAGAGAATATCTCTCCATTAAACACTATATGGCCGGCCCTAGCCCTATAAATACGCCATATTCTACCAAATTTTCAGAGCTTTTGCAACCCTAAAAAAACCTAAACACTTTACTCTCTCATAGAAACTAACTTAGGCATCGAAGATCCGTTGACCTAACTCCCCCCCTCAACCTCGTGGGCGTGTGAGGCTTAGGTCTCTGATCAAAGGTGTTAACGCGATGGCAGAGGTCCTCAAGGCTTAACACGACGGCAGGAGGAACCCCACCGCCGTGAAGCTGCGCCACTATCACTACCATCGTGACCCAGCAGCCACGGCAAGGCCACCAGGCCACCACACCACTCCCACCGTCGCTACCCTTGCAGTGCCGCACCCAGCCAAACCCTAAGCAGGAGGCCCAAGTCAATTTCCAAGCCCATGGGCAGGAGGACTAAACTTGGCAGCTGCCATAGGAGCCCCATCCCATTGCAACGGCAAGCCTAAACCCGAGCCCAGAACATGGCAGCTGCTGCCAGCCAAGCAACTCAATTGGCCCAAGCCCAAGCCACATAGCCAGCAAGCCATGATGTGGTAGCCCAACGACCAGGAGGGCCCATTGCCATACAAGCCCAAAGCTAGCAAGCGCCGATCCAACTTGCCCAGCGACCAGCTTCAATGACCAGGCCCGCGACCCAATCCATTCTAAGGCCACCTCCAACAATCCAGATTTCGACCACAGGTCCCGTGATCGATTCAAGGTTACTTTCACCTCACTTTTCTGCAGGAATGCTCACTTTTAGCTCAAGTTTTGTACTTGCAGTCCATTATACTTCCACCACACATGGAGACACCCATTTCTAAGCTCTTCTAATCCAAATGGCGAGCATCACCTGCCCTAACAAGTCGCCAATTTGACGAACGCCCTCGCGTAGCAAACCACCTTAGTGAACTAACTTCTCGAGCGCATCGAGTTGCAGCGCACCCCAGATGAGGTGTCCCGAAGCAGGACAAGGGCAGAAGAACGTGACTCATTCCAGCGATGTCCCGGCAAAGAGCCGCTCAACCCTCAAGAACCGTGCGTTTGGCTAGTGTGCACTTTCGTTTGGGCCCTCGGGGAAACGTCTTCTCCCGCTTAGATGTGCATAAAAACGTTCATTCCTGACTAGGCTCACGAGTCAGTATGCATTCGAGGTTGAGTTCATACTTCGATGAGAACTCAGGACATTCCGGGAGAAGCGTCCATACTAGGCTAGGCCCATAAGGAGATCCTTCTACGAAGCAATGGAGTAGGCAGCCGCATGACACCCAGAGAAGAGTACGTAAGCCATCTAGCTCAAGTTCCATTGGCAGCCCCCGCCTAGAGCGGCGACGAGTAGCACAGGGCGAACTGCATGTACCACAACCGCGGCACAGAAGAGCAACATGGATCGGCAGGTCAACACCAAGGGCAGCTAGAGGCTCCGTTGCCCCCATCAGGCCTAAATTCAGGAAGAAGTACAAGGGCTCATAGCAGAGCAGCTGACTGGATTCCAGCGCATTGACACTACTGATGATGCCCTCCGTAAAGACGTGGCCAACCTAAGTAAGTCACCATTTACAGACGATACCACGGAAGTTCAACTCATCATATTTCACATCGTTCATGGGAGATGAAGATTCGGACAGGCACTTGATGCACAACCGAAGTGCCATAACCCTCTATGCCAACAATGATGCTATTATGTGCAAGATCTTTGCCACGATGCTCCAAGGTGAGGCACAAGACTGGTTCCATACCCTGCCGCCACGTTCAATCCGGAACTTCAGCGAACTTTCCTTGGTTTTCATTAAGGAATATTTGTTCTACTACTCAATTAAAAAGAAGTCTGACCACCTCTTCAACAGGAAGAAAGACCCGAAGGAGTCATTCCTCACTTATGTCAAAAGATTTAAGGCGAAAAAGGCAAAAATTGTCCGATACGATAACAGCATCGCATGCTCAGCTTTCCGAAAGGGGCTCCTAGCAGATCACCCACTTTTCGGAGAATTGATTATGGGCGAGAACCTGTCCCTGGCAAACTCTTATGCTTTGGCAGAAAAGCACTCCCTCTGGGATGAAGAAAAACGCTCCCAGAAGCAGCTGAGCAAAAATGCAAAGACGCGGAACCAGCTTAGAAAAAGGCAAGCGATAAACCGCTCAACAACAAAAGTAACCTAGGAGACAAACGCAGGGACTGGTCCCCATCAAAGGGAGGCACATGACCCAAGACGTGCACCAAGTTCTCAGTCTTGATTAACCAGAACCTTCGCGATCTCAAGGACAAGCCATAGTTCAAGCCGCTGCCACCCATAAGGGGTGACACCGCTAAGATGGGCCAAACCAAATACTGTACATTCCACAGAGGTCATGGGCACACAACCAATGATTGCACCACATGAAAAAGGTACCTTGAGCAGCTCGTGATGGAAAGTGAATGCTACCAGTATATCGACAGACCAGCTGCCTAGCCAAAGTGAGAAGCAGATGCCAATGCCGAACCCCCAACCAAGACAATCTGAATCAACAAAGTCTTTGCCGAATCTGAGAATTTAGAGGCCACCAACAATTCCAAGAAGAGGAAAATCCAGCAGGCGAGATCGGTCAATCAGGATCAAGCCATATATACAGTACCTGGACCAATCATCAGCTTCACCGAGTAGGACGTTGAGGGAGTAGACTTTCCCCACAACGACGCCCAGGTGATTTTTGTACAACTAGCCTAAGACATCGTTGACAGAATCATGGTGGACAACGGCAACTCAGTCAACATCCTACAACTCTTAGTCATCCAGAAGATGGGCCTAGAAAGCACGATCCAACGCAAAGCAGAGGTCTTGACCGGATTTAACGGACTTACCTCAACTGCCATTAGCACTATCACACTCAACGTAACCAGTACACCGATTGTTTCATCATAGACCTTCATGATCGTCAGCGACCCATCTCCTTATAGCGGGATATTGGGCCGACCCTGGCTTGTGAAGATTGGAGTTGTGACCTCGATCAAGTACCAGAAAATCCGATTTCGCATCTCGGGAGGAGCAGTCGGAGAGATCAAAGGCGACCAGGCCATGTCCAGGCGA